TTACAAACAACCCAGTTAAGAAATGAGCAGTACATTTGAGCTGACTTGTCACAAAAGGAGATATAACACATTGACTGAAAAGCACATGGGAAGATATTCAGCATTATTAATCATAAAGGGAAATACAAGTTAAAACCATAATGAGATACTACTGCACATTCTTTAGAATGACTAAACTAAAATGCCTGTCAACACCAAGTGTTGATGAGGATTTAGAGCAATTAGACCTTTCATTCACTGCTGGTGAGAATGTAAAATGGTTAAGCTGCTTTGGAAAACTGATTGGCATTTACCAAAAAGTTAAACATATATCTACTGTGCGACTCAGCCATTCCATTTCTAAGTATTTATCCAAGATAAATGGAAATATATATCCACACCAACAATTGCACACACATATTTATAGCAGCTTTATTTGTGATAGGCAAAACTGAAACAATCTGAATGTCTCTCAACAGGTGAGTGGATAAACAAAATAAATATGGTATGTCCATAAATGGAATACTGTTCAACAATAAAAAGGAATGAAATGCTGATTATATATGCAATACTATAGCATGGGTAAATCTAAGGGAAAGAAGCCAGGCACAAAAGAATATATATACTGTATGATAAATGCAAACAGATAGTTACAAAAAGCAGATCCATCCTCCGTCAGACAGATTGTGGAATCTTCTGGGAATGGTGGAAGTGTTCTGTATCTTGGATATGGTGGTAGTTTACCAGGCGTTTCACTGTTGTTGGAAATCATAAGTAAGTGTGCACTTTAAATGCGATTTACTTTACCCACAATAAAATTGTATTTAATGCCATTTAAATTATATAGCTAACAACCAAGAAAACAAAACAAAAAACCAAAAATAAAATCAATAGATAAAATTAAAAAACCGTCTACTTATTTTCAGAAAAATTCTAGAAAACCTCCCTGTTGTAAAATGAGACTGAAAATTGATGATGGGACATGCTGACCTGAAAAAGTTTCTGAGGAAGAAAAAACTTTAAAATCTAGTTAAAATTAAGAAACATTAAAAATGGAATAGAAAAATTCAAGTGATTATAGTAAACAGTTAAGCACTGGTTAAAAACTATAGTTAATCAGTGATTCTGAGCCTTGTCAGAGTTCAGGACAAAAGGATAAACATGTGAAATTGTTCAGAGACAAGATATTAGAAATGTGGTAAAAGGAAAAGTGATCTATAACATGAACAGCTGATATTCATCATGAAGTGATCACATCATATGGCAGAGATGCAAGAACTAGAGACAAAGCAGAAGAAAATTTCCTTCAAGGCCTGAATCTGAATATTAAAAAATTCATAAAATACTAGACAAACTTAATCAGAAAAGTCAGTACCTTTACATTTTATGTTGATATTTTTGAATCTTAGTGAGAAAATGCTTAGTAGACACATGTGGCTATCCTATTGGACAGTGCAAATTATAAACATTTCTATCATTGTAGGAAGTTCTAATTGACTGCATTGTCTTAGAGTCTTTGAGCTTTGCCCTGAATTTTTGTTTTTTGGTTTTCTGCAGCTCGTATTGACTTTCTTGGACTCTATCAACATCTTATTTCAATTATAATTCATACCATCTTTTATCTTATATCCAAGAAAGCTGGCCACATCATGAGCTCCCCCCCTTTCAGAGCATGTGTCATTGTAATGACATCTAATGAGGAATAAGCAGAAACAAAGTGTTAAATGAGAACTATTTGTGATTGTATAATAAATATTATATATTTCCTAAAAGCATTTATATTGTTTCATTTTTTCGAATTGAGCATCCAGTGACATATCATTCTTCTGTATAGAAATTAGTTATTGCAATATCATGTTTTACATGAATGGAAAAATAATTTATGCCCTGAAATCTAGTAAAAAGATTTTGTTTGGATTTCTCCAGTTACGGCTAAGTTTTTCTAATTAGTCCAGATCATTTGCTGAAGTTGCTTAAAATGGAAAACTGTGTTACAATTTATAAAGTTTAATATAAACTATTAGTCATCAAGATGTGTGTAGGTAGTGATATTATGCTGGGGGGGGAATGGAATTGGTTAAAATAATTAAGAAACTACTATTAATGTTTTTTTCCCTCTTGGTATATTTATGTTAGAGTTTGGGTTAGATCAATAATAAGTGGTTACATTATCATGTCCATGTAAAAGCTATTCCCAGCAGTGCCATGTTTCTTATGTTTATGTCATGCTTTCTCAACCAGACTGCAAGCTTCTGGAGAGCAGGAACAGCATCTTTATGATTTTTCATATTTTCTGCAGTACCTAGTCTAGTTACTTGTTTTCAGTAAGTTCTTACTACAGAGTTATTGATTTGATTTATTTTCTTCTGTTGCTTATTGTGCAGGACAGAACTTACAAAAAGCATGGTGCTCCCTGAGTTGATAGAACTCTCTAGGGATGAAGGCAGCAGTGTGCGACTTGCAGCCTTTGAAACTCTGGTAAATCTGCTTGACATATTTGATACAGGTAAATCTTTATGTGCACACATCTTTGCTTCTGCAAGCAGTGTTTTTCCATATCTTTTGTATCATTAATAAGAAGTAAAGGTAAATTCATAATTTCTTATGTTAAGTTTTATGATTAATGTTAAGCCTCCCTTCCTCTCTCTTTTTTAATGACTTTTTTTCTTTTGGTGTTTTCTCTGCTTCCACTTTAGCCTCATTGCATCCAGTGTTGCTACATATTCCATACTTCTTTCTTTTTCTGTCATCAAAATTTAACTGACTTATGTATAGGCCTAAGAATTTAGCTTGGTAATTAGCCTTTAAATTTTTCAACTTGTCGACATTAAGACAGATCTTGGCTGAAAGAATGTCTGAATGAATTTCCTCTCCTTAATAATATTTTAATGCTAGAAATCTCATGGCATTGAGGGGAGAAATTTGGGATGGGGTATTTGAATGGGAATTTAATGTTATGCAAATCAATTCACAAAGATAATTAGCTGCTCTCCTCAGTATATGACTAGACTCTTAACTAATGCTGGACATTTGTCAGTAAACATGAACCATTTGGATAGGGTGAAATTTGGAGGGGTAAATGTCAAGTACTTAGGTGCAAAACTCCATTGTGTAATTGTATTACATTTACTTGGATTACCAACATTTTATCTGATCTAGGAGAGTCTCTTAAAGATGATTGCAATGTGAACCATAGTTGTATGTGGATGTGAATCATTTAGGCAACATGACGAACCAGAGGAGTAAAAACTGTAATACATGATAAGTGAATGACTGAATCTCTTTGCCCCTAATGATGGGGCACCCCTAGGTTCCGGACTAGAAACACATCTTTGATCTCTTTCCCTTCACTGCCTCACAGTCTGTTATCACAGATGTGGGCCTCATTCATGTTCATGGCTTGATTTCCTACCATTTTTCCCCATTCTTCTTGTATCTGATGCTCCAGTCCTAATTGCTGTTATCAGATTCTTTCACACATCTAGCCTTTCCTCACAGTCTTTTCTCTGCTTCGAGTTGGAAGATTTTTGCTTTTATACCTGGGCTAGGAGGGAGCGATTAAAGGCCCCTCTTCAAGTGGTACATTCAAAGTGTCAAATAAAGTGTTTGGACCAAAGCAGAGAAAAAGCCTTACAAGTGCTGGGGTAGAGAGATGACTGTGTCACGTCTCAGTTAAGCTAGCAATGAATTTTCTTTTACAATATGGGTGTAAATAATATGCCTTGATTAGTGCATTCATTTTCACCCATGTTAATTGTATATTCAGTGCTGTTACTTATTGTCAACACTTCATTTGCTTTTCTTCTAATATTACTGATGAAAGTTTGGCTCCTCGCCCCACAACATATAAATTTTTTATACTTGTTGTTCCCTTCCTTCTGTTTTTCTCTTAGCCAACTTCTCTTCCTCTTTAGTGTCCAGTTTGAATAAAATTTCCTCTCTGATATCTTTCCAAACTCTTTATACCAGGGGTTGGCAAGTTATGGCCTATAGGCCAAATCTGGCCTGTCACCTGTTTTTGTAAATAAAGTTTATAGGAACAGAGCCATGCTCATTTGTTTATGTATTTTCTGTGGCTGTTTTTGTGGTACAGTGACAGAGTTGACTAGTTGGGACAGATAGCCTGCCAAGTGTAGAACATTTACAAAAACATTTGCAGACCCCTGCCTCATACCAGCTATTGAAACAGTGATCACGTTATCTTATATTTTTCGTGTTTGGCTTCTTTGCTGGTTTGAGTTTCTCAAGTTCAGAGACCATTTATTATTCATCTTTCTGCTTCTGCTACTTAGCATATGCTTATTCTGTAAGAAATTCAATAGATGTTGAATGATAATTAATAAAAACAGTAGATGTGGTGCTGAAATGTGATAATAGTAACAGTAATAGCAATGATACTGATAAGCCTGTTATAGCATTTTACTTAGTATTGTCAGACTCTTAATAAAGTAGTGATCCATTTCTGAAAGTTTAAGTGAAATGTGGGAAATTTGGAGAGTATTTAGAATTGAGACTTAAATATTGCTAATATATCAAAAACGTATGACCTAAGCAGATGTACTCAAAGAATTGATTAACTTTTAAAGAAGAGTCATCTAAGAAGTAAAAGTGATGAAACTCAATATACAGGACATATTATAAGCTGATTTAATTTTAATAAAAAATGAAATGGTAAAATGGGCTTAAGGTGCAGCATGGTATGAGATATATGTAGAAGAGAATAAGAAGTTTCCTGTGCCTCCTGCTCATCTATTTATACGAGGGGTGTTAGAATTCTTTTAGTTATTCAGACTCAAAACCCTGATCACCTTAGCTTTGTAATTTGTACTCAGTCTTTCTTTATATTCTATTCCCTATGGCCCACAGTATGAAGTCCAAGTCCCTTTGCATGACATTAAACTTTCTGATAATTTCAACCCTCATCTTATCCCTTCTTTACCACCCAGTTCCATTATCATTGTTTTTAGATATTTTCTATTACTATGAAGCTAACATAGTAATTTTTCTTTCTGGAATTTGTGTATGTGTATTAGTGTCCACATGTGCAGTGTGGTTAACTGGATCTAAAATGTATATTATTTTGTTTTGTTTTCCAGATGACAGAAGTCAAACTATACTTCCCTTAGTGAAATCATTTTGTGAAAAATCTTTCAAAGCAGATGAATCAATTCTTATTTCTTTATCTTTCTATTTAGGAAAACTGTGCCATGGACTATATGGTATGATATATCCCAAGAATTTCAAGATTGTAGATAATTTTTCCCTTTTTTTTTTACCTTAGCCATTAAACTTTAGCTCTTAGTTGTAAAATCTATTTTTTAAATGTATAAAATCTTATGAGTTCTTAGAATTTTGATAGCATAATTTAGAGCACATTTGAAAATAACTCTTTCACTAATAGAAAACCTATTTGGAAGAACAATGACAGAGTGAAAGAAGCATAGCCCTTTAAATTTTTTAGTATTTTATACTTATGTATTAATTGGTATGTGATAATATAGACACTCTGGTGGATTAACTTTTGGTGCATAGTAAGTATATTCTTCTTAACCATTTGTTGAATAATTAATATTATGTGAGAAATTCAGCTTCAGATAATATTCATAACTCTTGGAATTTTGAACACACAAGGGTACTTCAAAAAGTTTGTGGAAAAATAGAATTAAAAGATAATATGAATCTTTCCATGAACTTTTTGAAGTAACTGTGTATTACTTAGTAAAAGGGATGGCCCGGAGTCGCAAAGAATTACACCAAGAGACAGATACTCAGCCAGAATGTATATTGGAGGGCTTCAGGGGCGAGCGGGTGGGCTGTCCTCTTGAAGCGGGAGCAGCTGCATGCAGAACTAGGGAGTGCCTTATATATCCTAATAGATTGAGCTGTCTCATTGTCATTGGACGAGAGGACAGAGCAAGAGTTTAAGCTGAGCTGGGACTTTCCTATAGGTGGGGAAAATCACGTGTGTGGGAAGGTGACATGGCGGTGAGGGAGAAGCAGGAGAGGGGGTCTTTTGTGGTTCTTGGAAAATGTGACATTTTCTGTAGCCATTTTGGGTGTTCTTCCTGTCCACCTGCCACCATTTTAGACTGACATTGGTCATAACATAATTGGCTAACACTTAGTTCTTAGCTTACTATAACAATGTGAGAATTAAGTTATACCCATCTAGGATAGTGATACATTTTCTTTATGTGGATTGTAACTTTTCTTTATGTGGATTGTAGACATTTAGTAGACTGTTTAAAAAATGTATTGCAATATTCTTGTATAATGAGTTCCTAGCTCCCCAAGATAGTTAATGAATGTGGAATCATTCCATTCGTTAAAAATATTTTGAATTCTCTTTGCCATCTTTCAGATTCTATTTTTAAGCTCCTTTTTTACAGACACATACACATCTTTTCTGCAGGCAGTTTTAGAATATTTCCCATAAGTAAATAGCAATATGTATAAATAGCCACAATATTATCATCATAGCAACTAGTTAGTAGTGGTCTACAATATGATACATACTGCAGAAATTAATACAGGCATAATTCCTGTATTATATAGTTCATACTTTTGAAATTAAAATTAAAATATTATTAAAATTAACATAAGGTGAAACAACCTGTTAGATTTCTTCATAATAGTTACTGTTTCCTCCTTGCTTTTATTTATGAACTATCTGTAACCATTTAGTTAAATATTTGGTTCCAATTATATTTTTATTGTACTTCGATTTTCTCTTTTTAATTTTTGTTTTCAAATGAAATGTTGAACAAAGGTTTTTACATTTGTTTTAGGAATTTTTACTCCAGATCAACACTTGAGATTTTTGGAGTTTTATAAGAAACTTTGTACATTGGGTTTGCAACAAGAAAATGGACACAATGAAAACCAGATTCCCCCCCAAATCCTAGAGCAGGAGAAGAAATATATTTCAGTACGGAAGAACTGTGCTTATAACTTTCCGGTAATAAATCATGTGTTTATGTTTACTGAGCATTTCAGTTATAACCTGTTTTAAAATATGTGCATAGATAACATTAAAAACATTGCCATTTTTGAACTTGCTGCTTATCATTAAGTCTAGTATGTGTAGTAGGTACTGAGTAAATATTTGTGAAAGTGTATTTCTCTCCTTGTATAAATCAGAATTATGTGCATGCATTTGGATCTTCCAAATATGATTTCTAATTAAATTACAATTCAGAAGACATGATTTCAATTTAAGTGAAATGATTGTAGTATTAGGTATTGGTGCATGTTTTACTCTCCTTCCCACTCACCTTCCCCTTTCAATCCGCTAGGCCATGATTGTTTTCGTTGATCCTAAAAACTTCCACATGGAACTGTATCCTACATTCTTCTGCCTTTGTCATGACCCTGAAGTACCCGTCAGAAACACTATTGCTATTTGCTTTTATGAAGTAAGTCTGAAGAATTGATACCACTTTACATTGTTGTTAATTGTACCTATGTGTACCAGATGCTTTTTTTGATATTTGTATACTTCTGTTGATAAATTTATTTTAAGATATAGGCTGCATATCTCTTTCATGATCTAGTCCTAAATCTTGTTTTAAAATTCCCATAATTCACTTCTCTTTCATTATGTTTATGGAATCTATTTACATAAATACATTATATTTATTTATTCATTTATTAACCCGTTTGTTCAGTGTATCTATACTAAATGCTTTCTTTAAGCCAGGCATTGTGGTAGATATGCGTGTTGCAAATTTGGAAGTAAAATTAGCTTTTTTATGCTTTATAATAATGATGCTTGTACCTAAACTTAAGCACTTGAGAACAAATAGAATTGAGAGACAAATTATTTAAATTTATTGTTTTTACTGCAAATGGATGATGTTTAATGAGCATAGCTTTTAGATATAGCTATTACAACTCTCCATAAACTAAGAGCAGGAGTGAATTTAAACTTTTATGATAAATGTAATTAACTTTTAAACCTTTGAGGTTGAAATTTGGAGTATGTTTCTTGGCTAATCCCAATAAACACTTGTATGCTATAGTTGCAGTAAACACATATAAGCTATAAACTTGTCAATTTCAAAGCTATTACTTAAAAATTTCTTTATAGGTGGCATAATGTTTCCTTTCTTTATAAGTGTTATAGTACATTCTTATTCTCAGTGAGAACATTTCATCCTCTTCCTTGCACTATGTTCTTGTGTCAGAGTATTGCTAGATTATCTAAAAATGTGCAGGATATACACAGCATCATTATAAATGTTAATTAAGATTCTTTTGGCTGTTGGGTGATAGTATATGCTTCATTAAAATAACAATTCCGGTATGAATGAAATATATGTTCATTGTACAAAATCTAGGAAATATTCCCTTTAAATGGTACAGTTATTTAAAATAATTTCAGTGTTACACAATTGAGTCATCTTTGTAAATATACATATAGAAATCTGCTTTTGGAGGAAGGGAGAGGGCAGAAGGCATTGGCCAGCTGAGCAGAATATTCACCACCAAGATGCATTAAGTGGTCGTTTAGGCTTGGTTACCATGTACACATGTATTTGCGAGATCAGTGGTCTCCGGAGAGGTTTGCACAAGATTGGAGAATGCAGTATTTATGCCGTATTAGACTTTCTATTTATGTTTATTTTTATCTCATTTCTTTAATATTTCATTCTAATCCATGTTTTATAGTGGACATAATATCACACCATGTAAGTAAACATATTGAAATGCATATACATGTGTATACACAAATATTTTGATTGGTAAGAGTGAGTTTGGAGATTGTTGATGTACATATTTGCTGGGTGGCTACTTTTCATATTCTCACAACGATACAACATAGGTAGGCTAAGAATGATCTACTCCATAAGATGAAGGGGTAGTTTAGGTTTGTCCTTTTAAATAATGAAAACTCACTGGTGGACTTAAATTTTCCTAACGGTGTTAATGTTAGATTCTGATAGTTGCTTTATTATGTTGTAATTTTATTCTTTTCTCAGAAAAATATTATTTTGAAAATATTTTCAAGTCAAAAATAATCCTGTTGGAGCAAAGGATTTTAAAACACTCTTTACTGAAGAACCATTTTTTTCCCAAATAAAATTTCACTCAAGCCCACTATGTTAAAATAAAAAAGAAAGTAAAATAGATACTCGTGCATCAACCGTCGTGGGCTCTGAGTTTGTCTGGAGGAAAAAAAACCTGTTTACAGGGGGAGCTGGATTATTCTGGACTTTCCCAATTCCTCTCACGCTGATTAAAATTTTTGGTGGGGAAAAGTTGTTTTGCCTCCTTAGAAGTTACCCTCTACTCTGATATCACTATAGGCCTTCAGTAGAAGTTACCCTCTTTGGGAAGCTCTGGTGGTGTACTGTAATAAATACTCTTATGCCTGGGAAATCCTTTAAGACACTGTTGGCTGCTCTAAGGCTTTAACATGTGAACTAGAGGCATCCTTGGGCTCATTACTGCTTGTGATATAAAAGTTATGACTCTGGCAAATCCCATTTTTCTGTACTTACCCATCCCCCATATATCCATACACTCTAGCATATTATAAAGCAGACTAAAAACCTGATGATGCCAGCAAATAATTTTTTTAGAATTCTAATTGTATACTTATGTTGTAACCTAGTTTTATTTTAGAAGTATCTAACAAAGATATTTTTAAAAAATTTTAATTCTAACTTTTGTATGTCTAGTATTCTCACATCTGAGAGACTTTATTGCTACATTTTAGGTGTCTAAACTTCTGAATTCTGGAGTATATTTAATACATAAAGAATTAATTACATTATTACAAGATGAATCACTGGAGGTAATATGTCTTCTTACTCTTTGGTTTTTATTCCTTTTATATTAAATACAAATATATCAATGCCTTTTTTTTTCTTACTTCTTGGGAATTGCATGAACTCTTTTAGTTGACTAGCCCAGAGGCCTCAAATCAGTATATCACTGTATTATAAACTAGAAATTGGGAAGATCTTTAAAAAATATTAGATTTTGAAATATATTCAGTTTTAAAATGTATATGTATATTTGCTTATTAAGGAAAATTTAAGAAGTACCAAAAAGTAGACAGACAAAAGAGTACCTTTAATTCCAGTTACTGTTACTATTTTGTTATATTTTTTCTTTATATATCTTTTCTATATAAATGTTGTTATATTTTTCTATATACATATTTTTATTTTATACAATTGTAATCATAGATCATATTTCATATCTTTTTTTCTCTTATCATTGTTTGGGGAATATTTTACCATCTAGTATATACTAATGAAGACTTTGTAATATTTTCTTTTATGCTGTATTTAATATATCCCACTTGCTTAAATGATTATTAGCTTGCCAAAGCTCAACTTATCAATATTTTGTTATCACTTAGGGTATTATCTGATTTAAACCACCTTTCAAAAGTTGAGGGCCGGCCCGGTGGCGCACTGTACTAGTGCGCCGCTTGGGAAGCGCGGTGGCGCTCCCGCTGAGGGTTCGGATCCCACATACAGACCGGCCGCTCACTAGCTGAGCGAGGTGCGGGCGCAACACCGAGGGTTGCGATCCCGTTGCCGGTCCCGGTCCGGTACGGGCGCGACACTGAGGGTTGCGATCCGTTGCCGGTTATGAAAAAAGACAAAAAAAAAGGAAAAAAAAAAAAAAAGTTGGGAGGCAGTTGTTGAGCATGTTAGTGGTGTGGAAGTAGCCGTCTCAGATTTAGACTATTTAAACAATATTGGGAGGAAGGCGTACAAATCTCTTTTCAAGGCAGTTGATGATGCTGATCATTTTCAATTGGTTAAGGCAGAGTAAGAAAACAGAACCCCCAAAATGCTTTTTGGTAAATAACACTATTTCTGTGTAGAAATTGAGATGTGGAGTTAACTAACCTGAGAAAACACAGTATTCACCATGAGAGTAATCAATATTTCTATTAAAAGGTACTAGATGCTCTTATAGATCATCTTCCAGAAATCTTGGAACTTATGTCTACTGGCGGAGAAAGCAGTGTTCAAGAAAATAAGGTAAATCCCATTTATCAAAGAAGTTTCTGAAATTTAAGTATTATGCTACTTTGCAGGATTGTTTTAAGGCATCATGAAAGACTGTATGGAAAGCATTTTTTTAAAAAAATCTTTTTTTAAATGACTTTATTGAGGTATGATTGATATTCAAAAAGCTGTACATATTTAAGATGTACATCACCACCAGTATCAAAGCCACAGATATATCCTTCACCTCCCAAAGTTTCTGCCCACCCACTTTATTATTATTTGTGTGAGTGTGTGGTAAGAACACTTAACATAAGATCTACCCTCAGAAATTTTAAGTATACAACACGGTATCGTTAGCTATGGGCACTATGCTATATAGTAGATCTACAGAACTTGTTTATTTTGCATAACTGAAACTTTGTACCTGTTGACCATCACCTCTCCATTTTCCCTTTCCCCCAGCTCCTGACAATCACCATTCTACTCTCTGTTTCTATGGGTTTGACTATTTTAGATTCTACGTATAAGTGAGATCATGTAGTATTTGTCTTTCTGTGCCTGGCTTATTTAGCATAATGTCCTCCAGGTACATACATGTTGTCACAAATGAAAAGAATTCCTTCTTTTTTAAAGCTGAATAATATCCCACTGTATAAATATATCACATTTCCTTTATTCATCTATCAATGCACATTTAGATTTCTTCTAAATCTTGGCTATTAAAAATGTCTGAAGGAAATGGTTAATGGACTTCTGTGGTCAGCACCCAAGGACGTGTTCACTTGGCGAACTCACAAACGAGTTAACCAAGAAATGTCAAGGATTGCAAACAATCCTTGAGAACACTTGAAGTTGTGAGAACACTTTCTTGGGATGTTCCCAGGAGGCGCATTATAGATAACCAAATGCTTGAGAAGGGAGGTAACGGCCTTCTGCTCTTGAGAAAAGTATAACAGAACTTATGCATTAATGCTTACCTTGCATGCACTAGCTTGCTAAATGTAATAAAAGCTGTAACAGCGGCTGGGTTGGGGCTACTTGCCTGAGAGAGCAGTGGCCCCCCCGCTCTTCACCTGCATCTCATCTGCTGTGTCTTCCTTCATGTCTCCGATCATTTTAATCAACAAATGTCTTTCAGTCTTGTTCAGAATCTTGACAGCAGAATTTTTGAAGGAGATGTATCTTTTTTTCTCTGTGGAATTTTGCTATTTTTATTGCTCAGTATGTGTTTATTGTTAGAAATGGAAAGATTTACTTGAAACAAACTAAAAACATTACTTTTTGTATTAAAATATCCATAAATATAAAGTTGGAATATATTTCCTTCAAACTTTGTGAATAATTTAAAGTTGCAAGTTGCGGGCCGGCCCGTGGCTCACTGGGTAGAGTGCGGTGCTGATAAAGTTGCAAGTTGTCAGTGAGGTGGTAATAATTTAGGTACATACTTCCTTACTTGGTTGATAAGGTGCTGAAATTATACCTCACTGCTACATTTTAAAGCGTATATTTATAGAATTGAGAATGCTAATAGTGCATAAACATAACAAAGCATCCCATGCTCCGAAATAATCTTCTTTAGAACAAAACCTTGTTAGTTCCTCTTCATGGAGAAAAAGCACAAGAAATAGGTTAACCCTTAGGCAGCTGATGCTGTGTTAACAATTGCAACATCAGGGATTTCTCAATTATTTATGTAAAATTTGAGTACTTGCTAATCTTTTAAAAAATTTTTATTTGTTTATTAATTTTATTGGTTATGAATATTCATGAGATACAAAGCTGGTTGTCACCCCTTGTGTCCAACATGTGAAGGCCAGATTCATACTGGTAGCATGCACATTACCACAAATGTGTTTGTACCCTGTGTCCCCCATCCAATTATCCCCCAATTCCCTCCCCCTTCCCTTTTTACCCCCACTCCACTTTGTATCTCAAGTTATGTTCTCTCCCTCTGTAAGTCCAACACACCACTGTGGTCTTCCTTTCCTTCCTTCTTTCTCTCTTACTTCCCGCATATGTGTGAGTACATTCAGTACTTATCCCTCTATGCTCTGCTTATTTCACTCAACATAAGTTTCTCCAGGCTCATCCATGTTGTTGCAAATGGGAGAATTTCATTCTTTTTTACGGCAGAGTAGTATTTCCTGGTGTATATATACCACAGTTTCCTTATCCAATCATCAGATGATAGACATTTAGGTTGGTTCCATGTCTTGGCTATTGTAAACAGGGCTGCAATGAACGTGGGAGTGCAGGTATCCTTTCGACGTGATGATTTCTATACCCAGAAGTGGGATTGCTGGATTGTATGAAAGATCTATCTGTAGTTTGAGAAACCTTCATACTGTTTTCCATAGTGGTTGTACTAATTTACAGTTCTACTGACAAGGCAGGAGCATTCCCTTCTCTCCACACCCTCGCCAGCACTTGTTATTCACTGTCTTTTTGATTATAGCCAGTCTAACTGGGTGAGGTGGTGTAGTTTTAATTTGCATTTCCCTGATGACTAATGATGTTGAGCATTTTTTCATGTACCTGTTGGCCATTTGTATGTCTTCCTTTGAAAAATGTGTATTCAGCTCCTTTGTCCATTTTTTTTTTTTTTGTCCTTTTTGAGACCGGCCGCACCGTGCTCAGCCAGTGAGCGCTGTGAGTGCACCGGTCATCCCTATATAGGATCCGAACCCGCGGCGGGAGCACTGCTGTGCTCCCAGCGCCACACTCTCCCGAGTGCGCCACAGGCTCGGCCCTGTCCATTTTTAAATTGGGTTGTTTTTTTCCTGTGTAATTGCTTGAGTTCCTTGTATATTATGGATATTAATCCCTTGTCAGATGCATAGTTAGCAAAAATTTTTTCCCACTCTGTAAATTGTCGTTTCACTCTGTCGATGTTTCCTTTGCTGTGCAGAAGCTTTTTAGTTTGATATAGTACCATTTGTTTATTTTTTCTTTTGCTGCTTGTGCTTTTGGGCTCATGTTCATAAAGTCTGTGTCCAGACCTAGTTCTTGAAGTGTTTCACCTATATTTTCTGTTAGTTATTTTACAGTTTCAGGTCTTATACTTAAGTCTTTAATCCATTTTGAGTTGATTTTAGTATATGGTGAGAGGTGCATATCTAGTTTTATTCTTCTGCATATGATATCCAATTTTCCCAGCACCACTTGTTGAAGAGGCAGTCTTTTCCCCAGTGTAGATTTCTGTTGCCTTTGTCCAATATCAGATGGCTGTAAGCCTGAGGGGTGATTTCTGGGTTTTCAATTCTGCTCCACTGGTCTGAATGTCTATTTTTATGCCAGTACTATGCTGTTTTGATTATAATAGCTTTGTAATATAATTTGAAGTCAGGTAGTGTTATGCCTCTGGCTTTATTTTTTTTGCTTAGGATTGCTTTGACTATTCATGGTCTTTTGTTGTTCCACATGAAAGGTAAGATTGTTTTTTCCATTTATGTGAAGAATGTCATTGGTATTGGGGATTGCATTGAATCTGTAGATTGCTTTGGGTAGTATAGACATTTTTACAATGTTAATTCTTCCAATCCAAGAGCATGGAATATCTTTCCATTTTTTTGTGTCATCTTTAATTTCTTTCAGAAGTGGTTTGTAGTTCTCATTATAGAGCTCTTTCACCTCCTTGGTTAAATTGATCCCTAGGTATTTTATTTTTTTCATGACAATTATAAATAGGCTTACTTTCTCTATTTCTCTTTCTGTTACTTCATTATTTGAGTATATAATGCAACTGATTTGGAGGCATTTATTTTGTATCCTGCAATGTTACTGAAGTTATTAACCAGCTCAGGAGTTTTTTGATAGAGTCTTTAGGTTTTTCTACACATAGTATCATGTCATCTGCAAATAGAGACAGTTTGACTTTGTCTTCTCCAATCTGGATTCCCTTGCTTTCTCTTGTATGATTGCTTTGAGTAGTACCTCTAGTACTATGTTAAATAGAAGTGGTAAGAGTGGGCATCCTTGTCTTGTTCCTGTACTTAAAGGAAAAGCCTTCAGTCTTCTCCATTCAGGATGATAATGGCAGTGGACATGTCATATATGGCTTTTATTGTGTTGAGATACTTTCCTTCTGTACCTAATTTGTTGAGAGTCTGTATCATGAAGGGATGTTTAATTTTGTCAAATGCTTTTTTAGTATCTATTGAGATAATCATATGGTCTTTGTCCTTGAGTTTGTTCATGTGCTATATCACATTTATTGACTTTTGTATATTGAACCATCTTTGCATCCTTGGGATGAATACCACCTGATCATGGTGTATAATTTTTTTAATGTGTTGCTGTATTCTGATTGATAATATTTTGTTGAGGATTTTTGCATCTATGTTCATCAAGGATATTGGCCTGTAATTTTCTTTTTTTGTTGTGTCTTTATCTGGTTTTGGTATCAGAGTTATGTTGGCCTCATAGAATGAATTTGGGAGAGTAGCTTCTGTTTCAAGTTTTTAGAATAGTTTGAGGAGAATTGATATTAACTCCTCTTTAAAAGTTTGATAGAATTCAGATATAAAGCCATCCAGACCTGGATATTTTTTGTTGGAGGATTGCTAATTACTGATTCAATCTTGTTCCTTGTTACCGGTCTGTTCAGGTTTTCTATCTCTTCTTGGTTCAGTCTGGGTAATTTATTTGTGTCTAGAAACTTATCCATTTCTTCCAGATTTTCATATTTTTTTGTCATACAGCTGTTTATAATAGTCTCTACTGATTCTTCGTATTTCTGTGGTATTGGTTGTAATGGCTCCCTTTTCATTTCTGATTTTTGTTATTTGAGTCTTCTTTCTTCTTTTGTTTGTTAATCTAGCTAATGGTTTATATATTTTATTTATCTTCTTGAAAAGCCAATATTTTGTTTTGTTGATCTTTTTTGGGTCTCTATTCACTTAGTTCTGCTCTGATCTTAATTATTTCTTTCTTTAGGTTTGGATTGTTGTTGTTTTTCAAGTTCTATGAGGTTTAGTGTTAGGTCGTTTATTTGAAGTCTTTCTGTTCTTTTTTTTTAATTTTTTTGACTGGTAAGGGGATTGCAACCCTTGGCTTGGTGTTGTCTGCACCATGCTTAGCCAGTGAGAGCACCGGCCATCCCTATATAGGATCCAAACCTGCGGCCTCGGTGCTATCAGCACCGCACTTACCCGAATGAGCCACGGGGCGTGCCCTCTGTTCTTTTGATATAAGCATTTATTGCAATAAATTTGCCTCTTAGTACTGCTTTTGCAGTATCCCACAGGTTATGGTATGATGTATCTTTATTTTCATTAGTTTCAAGAAATTTTTTTATTTTCTGTTTAATTTCTTCTTGGATGCATAGGTCATTCAGAAGCCTATTGTTTAGTTTCCATGTATGTGCATAGTTTCCAGAGTTTTGCTTATTACTAATTTCCAGTTTTAGTCCATTGTGGTCTGAAAAGATACTTGGAATGATTTCAATTTTTTAAAATTTGCTGAGGCTAGGTTTGTGACCTAATATATGGCCTATCCTGGAGAATGTTTCATGAGCTGATGAGAAGAAAGTATATTCTTTAGTTGTTGGGTGAAATGTGGAAAGCATTTAAAATACTGCTTGCCACATAGTTGGTATAGAAGTCTGTTGGTGTTTGAACAGCTTGAATTTCCTCTGCAGTTCTTACATTAGCAATGCTTGTGTTACTGTGATTCTTATTTATTGTCTTTAGAGTTTATATTCATATTTTCAGTTTTCATTGGCATTAATGATTATTCCAAGAATCACAAATAGTGAGGACAAAACGGTAGGAATTTAGATGGTCAAAGCTTGTGGACAGTAACAGATAATAAATTTTACTTCTGTTAGAAGAGTTGCTGTGGTCATCAGTCTGACAGGAAGAATGATGAATTCCGGTCTGTGTTTCAAAATTTAGTTTCCAGTAACCATAGATTTTATTTATGGATTTTTAAAAGATATCTGATAATTTCATCAGATAATTATCTACCTGTGACAAACTGAGATGCCTCCTAAACTCTGAAATGAGCAGGAATATTTTCCTCCCCAATATAAGACTGAATAATTTGAATGCTGCAATTTATTTAATTATCATTGATTCTTTTGGTGTGTTTCTTTTTCAGTTGTCCTCACTACCTGAATTGATTCCAGCACTCACAGCCGCTGAACAGCGAGCTGCAGGCTCTTTGAAATGGAGAACTCATGAAAAGCTACTACAGAAATACGCTTGTCTGCCACATGTCATATCAAGTGATCAGATTTATTATCGTTTCTTACAAAGAATGTTCACGATTGTGATGACAAATGTGAGCTCAGGACTTTTCATTTTATTCTCTTGAACTCATGATTAATTTTGGAATTACCAAATTCTTTACATTCTCAAAATAATACAACAAACTCAATTCATTCCATTTTGCCCAGCAGGATGTCATCTTCCCAGGTCCCTGAGGAGGGAATTCAGGTTTCCTTTTGCTTCTCCACTAGTTCTCCCTTGATCATCTTCTACCTAGCTGGAGAGAGGAATGAACAGGTGGTACCTTCACTTACCTTATACTGCCAGGGAGAGTGTTAATTCACTCACTTCAATCTTCATGTAGTTCTTCTGAGGAGGAAAGTTGACAGATCTCAGTGGGTCTCGACTGCAAAGGACCTTCTGCTCTGACGTGCACCTTTGATATACTCACGGCCTGGGTGTCTTACCTCAGCTGTGCTACTTTGCCAAGGCATCCCTTAAGCATCTTTATATTAGTTTGGTTACTTCTTGTTTTATGGTACTTAAAGGGTGGCTATGTAACAGATAAAGTTTATACTCGAAATGGGGATGCCTTAATATGGGTATCCTTATAATTAGAGTAAAAAGAAAAAAAAAAGACTCATTCCTCAAAATAGGTTTGTGCTCAAAGCTTTTCATAAAGTTAGTTGTCTACTTTTCTTAAAAAAAATTTCCAGAGAGGATTCTTCTTTTTTTTTTGTCCTTTTGTCTTTTTTCCGTGTCCGGCAATGGATCGCAACCCTCAGTGTTGCCCCCGTACCGGACCGGGGACCGGCAACGGGATCGCAACCCTCGGTGTTGCTCCCGTGCCTCGCTCAGCCAGTGAGCGGGAACCGGTCTGTATGTGGGATCCGAACCCTCGGGCAGGAGCGCCACCGCGCTTCCCAAGCGGCGCACTATCCAGTGCGCCACCGGGCCGGCCCCTCCAGAGAGGATTCTTTAACCCACAGTTCACTATACATTTAATAAGACATCCTGTTACCATTTTTGAAGTATAAAAAAGTTCCAGCTGGCTGGTTAGCTCAGTTGGTTAGGGAGTTGGTACTGACAACAGCAAGGTCCAGGGTTCAATCCTTGTACTGGCCAGCAAAAAAAAAAAAAAAAAAAAAAGGAAAGAAAAAAAGTTCCAGATAATCTTTCTATCTTAGAAACTGCTAAAAAAGTATTTTAAATTCTCATTGTTTATTCTCAATAAAAGGGAGATTATGAATTCTAGCAGCCATCTCAAAAACCCAAAATCAATTTTTGTTTCAAAGATTTAAAAAAGAGAAAAAATTATATCATTGGTGTTACTTATAACTTCAGTGAAAAAGTAATAAGCATAATTTAATAAGCACCCCTACAAGTTTGTTTCATATATCAAAGCAAAACCTGGAGATTGAAGTTATATTGTAGATGTGTCAATATAAAAAGCGACTTGACAGTAACGTCCTTACCAGTTTACATTTAAGAGCATGAATGTACCATATAGGACATTTCACATAAAATTGAGCAGAATTTATTAATTTTATTCAGCAGTTACTTAATTTGAGTGCCTACTGTGTGTCAGGCATTGTTCTAACAGCTGAGGACATAGGAGTGAACAAAGCAGACAGAATCTTGCTCTAATGGAGCTTGCATCCTAAAGTAGTGGTGGTGGGGAGTCATAGAAAATAAAATAATAATAATAAATAAATATATTAACAGGTGGGGTAAGTGCTATGAAGTTTAATCTTAATTGTTGGCGTCAACCTAATTAGTAGGCATGTTTGTTTTTAGGAAGCTACGAATACAGAATTATTCTGTATTCGTAGCTTCTTTTGCTAGGAAAGAGAAATGATTTACAATGTAGAGGGTAGACAAGTACTTTTCCGCCTGAGAGATTTGTTTTACTATTTTCTTTTACAAGGAGCTAGTTCCATACTTTAAAGGAAATACATAATTATTATAGCACATTTTTTGTGCTTAGAGAAGTCACTTATAAAAACAAAGATTTTTGGTTTTAGTTCTATACCTAATATTCATTCATTTGTTCATTGATTCCGCAAAACATATTGGGTGCTTACTATGTGCAAAGCACTATTCTAGGTGCCAGGAATATAACTGAACAAAAGAGCCAAAGGACCTACCCTCATAAAACTTATATTTTATTGGGGACATTTAACAAAATTAATAATTATTCTTTAATAGCATTTAATATCTAGTCCATATTATAATTTTACCAATTATCCCCCAAGTTTATTTTATAGTTGTTTTATTGCATATAGAATCCAATTAAGATCTATACCTTGTGATGAACAAACATATAAATATATAGTAAGTCAGGGATAAAAAGTGCAATGAAGAACTATAAAAGCAGGGTCGAGTGGGGAAGAAGGTGATGGTGGCTACTAGGACACTATTGTGGATATAGTGGTCAGGAACAAGTCCTCTCTGATCAAGTATGCTTTGTGCAGAGGCTTGAGCAAATGAGGGAGTGAGCCATGTGGCAGTCTGAAGGACGATTGATCTAGACACATGGGACAGTGAATGCAAATGTGCAACACAGTATATGTTTGGCCATGTGAGGAGCAGCAAGAAGGCCAGTGTAGTAAGTGGCAGAGAGTAAAGCTAGACGTGGCTGGGTTCACAGCACACAGGCTCTTGCAGGTAGTGATGTGGACTCTAGGTTGTATGCTTTGAGACAAGGGAAGTCTTGGGAAGGTTTTGAGTAAAGGAATGATATAAGTTGACTTTTATTCCCTACTTCCGTTATGAAAAAAATTTAAAGGTACAAAAAAAGCAAAGAAAATATTACAATGAACACCCGTATACCCATCATCTAAATGTAACAAATAGTATATTGCTATATATTTGCTTTTTCTGTTTCATTGTGCTATAGAATTTTAAATTATAGGTATCATTATATTTGATCTCTAAACATTTCATTTTTAAGATTTTCTGTTCTAATTCATAGTAAATATCCTCTTTTTACATTGAACAGGTTAAAAACACCACACAGAATAGTACCCAGTAGAATGGAAATAGCCTCTGTAAAATATGAGAGGAGGTCATGGCAGTATTCTCTTAGCAATATAAAGTTTCATTCTACTTGAATTTCAAGGATCCCCACTATAAAAATCTGAATCTTCAGTAATTGAATATTATAATATTTATACTTAAGTCAAGATGATGAACATGAATTTATACTGGATACAATATACCTGATTGAGAGATTTTTCTCTAATATCTGGTTTGAACCCAAACCCAATAAAGATGAATGGTTGAATTCACTTGGAATTAAGATTCTGCCCAGTGTGATGGAAAATCAAAAGACAAAGGGGTTTGGAATAGTGATAAAAGTGATTGACATGGTGACATGGTGTCCTTCAGATTCGAAGCTTTTATCTGTATCATGGACCAGAGATCTCAGTGAATGCCATTGAGGTTGAAGAGCCAGAAGCCAAAATTAAGACAGAAGGATCAAAGAGTACACCTGTTCATGGGATCTCTAAATTTATATTTGAGAAGTGACATATTTTTTGTAATATACTTGACAGATGGTATCTTCTAGCAAATGTTTGTTGAATGAGTAAGTGACAAAGGCTAGGGAATGGCCAAAAGAATGGGTGGCTAATGTGTATTTGAGGAGAATGTCACTTAAAATGAGGTGGCAAGGGAATGACAATCAAATATGGATGATTTGGACATAACTGTGCCGAATTGACTTTGTAATGCAATGTATTAGTTGATTTGCCTGAGTGATATTAACATTAAATTAACACTTCCAGAAGAATATACGTTCAGTGATTTGAGAAGTGGTGAACATTCCTCTTACTTTTAGCCAATAACTTAAGATTGATTTGGTGGGACCAAATTATTCAGAGTATATAATATTAGGCTAGTGTAATAGTCTTTCTTGTTTATTTCTTTAAGAATGTCTTACCTGTCCAAAAGGCAGCTTCACGAACTCTATGCATTTTTCTACGTTATAATCGTAAACAAGAACAGAGACATGAGGTCATTCAAAAATTAATTGAACGTAAGTAATCACTGTCTCCTATTTGAAACAATGAAATTAAACAAACTAGTTGGCCTTAGCTGTAACTTACATTATGCATCATTTTGCCACGAATAGGCTGATGTTGGTAAATATCTAGTGTGCACTTTTATTTGAGTTTCGTAGGTTAATTTTTGGTTGTTTTAGAAATCTTATGGCAAGATCAGATCTGTGATGAATGAGAGTAGTAATTACTCAGAGGCCTCTTTTGTGAATTTCTACATTTGAGCAGTTAAAATACGTACACATTTTGAAAGTCCAGTTTCTACCCTGATCAAATAGAATTTGAAACTAAAATTCAGTAGTCTTATCCATGGCTTCACTTTCTGTGGTTTCAGTTAACCTGAGGTCACCCATTGTCTGAAAATATTAAGTAGAGTGATGAGATCTCACACCATCCTGCTTGTCCTGCCCAGAATGTGAATCAGCCCTTTGTGCAGTGTATCCATGCTGTATAGGCTACCTGCCCATTAGTCACTTCTTCGTAGCCATCTTGGTTTTCAGAGGTACTGTCCCAGAATCACAGTGCTTGTATTCAAGTAACCCTTATTTTACTTAATAATGGACACAAAGAGCAAGAGTAGTGATGCTGGCAATTTGGATATGCCAAAGAGAAGCCATAAAGTGCTTCCTAGGAGACCTTGGCTATGGGTCATTTAATTCAAGGTTTCAGGCATCCACTGGGCATCTTGAAATGTATCCCCTGTGAATAGACTATCCATGAGTCTAATAATTTAATTTATGGTCTTATATTCAGTGTTAACAGAATTAACAGAATGTGGGGTTTTGATTTTTTCCTTGAATAGAGATGATAATACATATGAATGTGAATCTGGTGAGCCTAGGTTTATAATGTCTTAAGAAACTAAGTCAATTAAAGCAAATTTATTTTAATTTGATAAGGGCTAAAATCAAGAAAAAAACCTTTAGTTAAAGTGGTAATTCTAGAAATAGTGGCACACACTATATTTACTTAGTAAATTTGTTAATTTTTGTACACTTGCTTTGACAATAATGTCTTAATGTTTTTATTAAACCCTGTTATCCAGTATAGGCAGATAAAGGGATTTTCTGGTTATTGGAGTTTACCATTTTAAGTATGGATCGCCACTTTCTAAAAATGTTAGAATACTTTTATAAGATTCTATTTAAGAAAAATTATTCCTGCCTTTGAATTCTAGCTCTGCACTTGCTATCGATGTGACATTAACCTCTCTGAATCTCAGTATCTTTATGTTTTGGGAGGGATTATGTATGTATGTCCCATTGGATTGCTTTTCAGGGTTAAATGAGATAATATGTGTAAAGTATTTAACACATAGTGGCTGATCAAAAAATAGTAGGTATAGTCATTCAATAGCTAATAAATGCTTATAGAATTGAATGTAATGTCTAGTAAAACTTCTTGCTGATTTTTGAGGTGTCAGTATTTTAGGGTCTGCAAGTCTGGGGTATATAATATGATTGTTTCCTCTTACCTTTTGTATTTGCTAAAAAAGTTGTGGGCATAAAGAAACTTGTCACAGAGTTTGCGTGTCTGTGTTGTCACATGTAATTTCATGTAGGAAAAATTAACATGATAATTTTTGTTTTTATTTCTAGAACTGGGACAAGGAAAAAGTTATTGGAATAGACTTCGATTTTTGGATACCTGTGAATTTATTATAGAGATCTTTTCCAAATCATTTTTCTGTAAATATTTCTTTCTACCTGCTATTGAACTGACACATGATCCAGTAGCAAATGTGAGGTATGTTACTAATCCAAGAAAATATTTGAAAATATTGCATTTTGGGGGCCGGCCCAGTGGCGCACTCCTACAGTGCGCCGCTTGGGAGCGCGGTGGCGCTCCTGCCGAGGGTTTGGATCCCACATGCAGACCGGCCGCTCACTGGCTGAGCGAGGTGCGGTGCAACGCCGAGGGTTGCGATCCCATTGCCGGTCCCCGGTCCGGTACGGGCGCGACACTGAGGGTTGCGATCCGTTGCCGGTCACGATAAAAGACAAAAAGGAAAAAAAAAAAAGAAAATATTGCATTTTTTATATATTTACCATAGTGAATATATGCAAAATCTTTTTCTTACTCAGTTCAAAAATCAAATGGAGAATTTATACTTGCTTTGACATTCTTAGTAATCGTAATTGGTAAATATCAATAAGACTTGGAAGCATGATTTTTTAACACTGTCTCAGATTTTTTGTTTATTGGGTTGAGAGTAGTAAGCCAAAGCCAGATTGGCAAGCTTCTCTGGCAATTTGGATATACATATTGGGATCAGGAGAAGATTGAGTAGATAAAATTAATTTATCTATTATTAAGACTTAATCAACAGCCTTGTCACTTCAAAGTTGGCTTGTTGAGCATCTGTCCAGTTTTAGAATCCCATTTATTCAGAGGAGTAGGGGTGCCTTGAAGTCTTTGTCCTGTCTTCCATGTTCAACTGCCTTACATTTTGAAATCTAATTGTTAATTGGATTTGATTAACTGTTAAGTTACATGTAACAGGCCTGAAAATGGCTTGCTTGGAAATTGAAAAAAAGAATAAGTATATTTTGTCTTTTTTACCTCTCCGAATAAGCATATTATTTCCTTTTTTTCATTGTGGTAAAATATATGTAACATAAAATTTACAATTTTAACCATTTTTAAGTATATGGTTCAGAGGTATTAAGTATATTCATATTATTACTTGAGTTATTTGAACATTTGATAATGAGATGAAAAGAATTTTAAATCCTCAGCTATTAGATTTCTGTGTTCTAAGCTTTATGTCTCTGTTCTGAGCTTGAACTCAGATCCTTAGCAAAGAGTGACGTAGTCAGAGTCAGTTGGCCAAAAGCTTCCCTGAACACAACTCTAGAGCTCCTGGCTGAGTTTTTGCATGCTGGCCACACTTCATTTTATGCTGTGTGACATAGTGCATCTTTTGTAAATGACTGACTTAAATTGTGTAGGCAATACAGGAGGAGTTGGTGAGGCAATAAACTAGAATAGATTGATAGTCTTGCTGTTGAGATATATACCAAGCAGAACTGTCAAAAGGTATTGAGAAGTTTAATCTAAGAAATTTATGGGCATTGTTTAATGGGAACAAATCTAGAGTTTGGTTCTTGTTTTATATTTTTAATGTGAGAAAATGCAACTACACAGGATGTGGTTTTTTGTTTCTCTTACCTGTGCTATATAAATAAGAGGTAGAGTATCCCTGACATTTAAAGTAAATTGAAAAGAGCCTGTTATAGTTCTTTAGAATTTAGCTCTTCCTAATCAACTTATGAGTCCAACTATATTGTTAACATTTTGTAATTTGAAGTTGTGCTTCTAGAAAAGCAATTTCCTGTGTGATGAATTATCACTCATCAAACATTTGACTAAAATAATTTAAAAGGAGATGAAGTCATTTCTACTTTGGTCAGTGTGACTAATAGCATAGTACTGACTATAATATGATAAAGCAGTCTGTCAATTTGAAAACCAGATTAAGATTAGTTGAATATCACTCCATGAATTTTGGAGGTTTTTTTGGGTAAGAGGCTATTGCATAGCAATTTTCCCGTTTGGTTTCCACTCCCCTGTCTGAGCAGCTGCCAGCCAAAGAAATGGGCCCAGCATCACTTGGCTTTGAGCCTCTACCCAATGCTATAGAGATGTGCAGATAGAATGAAAGCTATCACAAGTAAGACTAGTAGGACCACACAGGTTAGGAGGACAGCTTCTGGAGCTACACTGCCTGAGCTGAAATCCCAGTTCTATACTAGCTTTGTATCTTTGAGCAAGTTACAAAACCTCCCTGTGCATTGATTTCCTTAGTACCTGATTCACAGGGTTTTCTGAAGAATAAATATCTGAGGTAATGTACATAAAGAATTTAGTTTACCAGAAAGGTGTGGCCCCTAATCTCAAGAGTTTTATAATCTCATGGCCCAGGAGTCTCATAGAGATGAATCACTACTATGGCTTATGTAGGTTCTGCTAAATATATTTTTTCTAGACATACTTTGGATTATAAAGAATGAAGTGTGCATGGACTGTTAAGTGTTTTTGTTTTTCCTTAAGTGAATGTTTAAAATTTAAATTCACTGAGTTTAGACAATATGAAGGCTAGAAAAAGACTGTTGGTATTCAGAGAAGTCTTATCTCCAGATGCAGAAAGGAAATAATTTCTCTTTGGGAAAATTGGAACTCCTTAATTAGGGAAACCATCACCAGGCTTAGCAGTATGTGTGGTGGGCTCTGAATGAGATTGAGGCCGTTGTTGCTATTTACAGGGCTAAAAATTCTAGAGGATGAGCTTCTTTACCTTTTCTGGTTGAATAAAAAGCAAATTTTGTTGTAAATGAAGAATCCTCAACTGAAAGTTGGCGTCCTGGAAGCTTTAGAAATGGGATTTAGTTGTCTCAAGGTTTGCAGTAAAAATAAAAAGATAATAATCTGGGGAGCACTCAGGTGAATGAATGAATGAATATAGCAGCTATAAAATAGACAACCACCTAGCCTCCCTCTCCAAAAACCAGCCCTGGCAAAGAAGTAGAGTTTTAGCTTAGCAAAGCAGAACATTTCTTCCGAACTACCTCCTCCTGAAAGGTTTTTTAAACTTTTCTGGATTTCTTTTTACCTCCCTGGCATTCTTTGGCCTCCTGTCTCTTCCTTTTCAACCCAATCTAGACTGTGGTGGTGCCTTAGACTGTATCCTTTTATCTCTTTTCTTCTTTAACTGCACTTATTACTCTCTGATGTCAGACTTAATATGTCTAAAATTAAATCCTGACTTTCTTTATCTGCTTTGCCTCTTCTGTAGTCTTCTCTATCTAGGTAAATAACCAATTGTTTTTCCTTAAGTGAATGTTTAAAATTTAAATTGCCACTCGCTCAGGTTAAAACCTTAAATCCTTTCTCTCTCTTACTCCACCTCCAATCCCTCAGCACATCCTGCTACTTGCAAAATATATCCAGGATGCAACCACTACTCACCACCTCTCTCTGCTTCAATCCAGCATCATCTCCTGCCTGAATTATTTCAGGCGCTTCCTCTATTGTTTCCCTTCTTTTGTCCCTGACCACCTATTGTCTAATCTCAACACAGTGGCCAGGTGATATGTTTAAAATTTTAAATTGGATCATTTCACCTTTGTCCTTAAAACCCTCCAGTGGCTTCTCATCGCAGTCAAAAAAAAGTCGGTCTCCTTATAGTGGCCTCTAAGTCCCTTCATGAGCCGGCCTCTTGTTACCACTCAGAGGTCTCCTGCTAATCTCACCTTCACTCTGTTCAACCACAATGTCCAGTTTGTTAATTTGGGGCAACACCAAGGCAAGCTTCCCCTAGAGGGCTTTTGCATTTACTGCTGCTGCCCTTAATGCTCTTTCCCAGGTATTCACATGGCTCATCTCCTAATTTTCTTTAGGTCTTTTCTTAAATGTCATCTTCAGTGAAACCTTCACTGACACCCTCTCTGATCACCTGCTTTAAAACAGATTAATCTTGCTCCTCTGGGACTCCCTCCTCTTCTTTCCCTGCTTTATTTTTCTCCATAGCACTTACCACTATCTGACAGATATTTTATGTATTTGTTTACTCTCTTTTACCTACCCTCATGCTAAGCTCCATGTGAACAGAGAATTTTGTTGGTTTTATTCACTGTTGTATCTCAGCACCCAGAGAAATGAATGCTTGGCACAAAATAGGGACTCCATAAATGAATAAATGAACTCTCAAGCTATCTAAAACTTGAATTTTCTTTCAGTTTCATGCTACTATTATTCTTAGTTGTTAAATTCACTCAAAAGTAAATACTATTTAATTTATTATAGAATGAAACTTTGCTACCTATTGCCCAAGGTGAAATCTACCCTGAAGATTCCTGCAGATAAGCATCTACTTCAGCAGTTAGAAATGTGTGTGAGAAAACTCCTATGTCAAGAAAAAGATAAAGATGTTCTGGCTATTGTAAAAAGGGTAAGTCTCCCTCTTCCCACACATTGCATTTCTTGCATTAAGTTTATGTTAAATGTAGCTTCACTCTTTTAGCTTAATATGTTAAAATATATACATCCTTTCTAGAGTAGCATGAATAAGTAAATGGTTTGTAAATGATGTGTATGCCGCACCTAGATAGGAAAGTTCCTTCTAAAGGTCACTTAAATATTAAGCTTTTATTACTAGTAATATGAGCTCTGTAAGAGTTTGGCACATGTTAGGTGCTCAATAAACACTGTTCAATTAATAATGAATACTTTATTCCCAGACTTTATTTAAAACATTATTATAAGTTTTACAATCCAGTAAAACTTTGTTGGTAAAATTGGGAAAGTCACATTTTATAGAAACTCAGGCCTGGAAGGGGCCCTCAGAGTTAATTCGCCATCCATTGGACTTTACAGAAGCTCTAGACCTAGAAATATTAAGTGTCAGCTTGATATTAATACATGGCAGAGCCAGGACTAGAATATAGATCTCTTACCTACCCCTGAGCACATTCCTTTTTTTATTAATGTAACATTGTATCTTATGGTTGTTTTTTGTTTTAGCATGATGTATTATATATGGATTGGGAGTGCTGGGAAGCTAAAACAGTAAAAATTTGGGGTCAAACCTTAAAATACTTTATAATCTTCAACAATTCTTTATGCTGAATATATAACTAATGTTTTTATAAGGTCAAGTAAAATTAAAGTGATTATTTTTATGAATGTGAATGTGAGCTTCAGGATGCATAGTTTTGGAACACTTATTTGTAGTGAGAAAAATTAATTTATTAATTTTGTGAATAAATTAGCATCAATGGTGAGAAAAAGAATCCTTTGATTTTTTTTTTTTTTTTCCTAAAGATCATTGCCAGATGTCATGAGGCACTTTTTTTTTTTTTTTCCGGTAGCTGGAGGGTTTGGGGGTCCAAGCCCTTGACCTTGGTGTTATGAAGAACTTTTTAATAAAGTGGTTTGATAATTTAGTATTAAAAAATATAATTTTATTTTACTGAAATGTGAATTTGTCTTTCGTGAACTGAAATAACCAGAAATACCCAGAGTTGGATAGGCATCTAAATCTGAAAACACACACACACACAGTTTTTGTTTCTAAGAGATATTTCTGTCCTTACTATTTCAGTATAGAAATTTAGGCAGTGGTTAAGTTGTCAAGATTATAAACATGAGAGGGTTAGTTACTTTTCCAAAAGAATTTATTAATTCAAGAGACAATACAAGCTAACCCCACAAATAAGTACAACAATGATGTAATTAAATTAATGGATTATTAATCTACAATGGATTATTCTGGAGTATAACTCTTATTTTAAATATGGTTTAATAATGATGTCAATTTGTTCCATGAAAATTCCGTAATGTAATGTTTATCAAACTGAGGTATTAATATAGGAACCTCTGAGGCAGCTACACAAAGGTTTGGGATAAAAATGGAGTAGCTTACGTAAATCAGTTATTATTTTTTTAACATGGGAAGTAATTTTATTTAAAAAGGGAATATTTCATGGCATAAATTGTAATTTTTCATAAATATGAGCATAAAAATAAAGCTTCAAATTTTATATTTGCAATGGATAGCTTTGGGCATTTGAATATATAAATGTACTTTATATTGATGATTAGAGTTACTCTTGTTGAATAAGTTTTAGAGGTACTGTCCTCTCTCAGAAACAGAACCTTAGATGAGATTGACCATTGTTTGCTTGGACTAATTTGTTTCAGACTACTGTATTGTGAAAGACAAATACTAAATTGAGAGAATACTTTCAGAGCAAAGTCTCTTCTGTTGGTTAGAGTGTCAGAATGATAAAAAATTTCTGTGGAAGGGAACTAGGGATTTTAAGCCAAACGATAGCTTGCTTCAATATACACGGGCACTTCAAAAAGTTCATGGAAAAATAGAATTAAAAGAGAATACAAATCTTTCCATGAATTTTTCGAGGTGCCCTCATATTTTTAGCTAAAATACTTTTTAAAAATTCATAAACTATATTTATTTCTGAAAATTTAGGAAAGCTTGGCACTGGGAGATAATAGAAATTAAATTGCATGCAGTGGGTATTTAAAATATGCCTCTAGACTTACTCTTCCTAAGGTTTAAAATTTTTAAAAGTTAAAATGGATCCTAGCATTGATGTATAAAGGTTGATTATAAATATAATGTGGAGTTGGGCAGAACTTCAGAGTTTTCTCATTTAGCCTTCCACATAGTTTAGAAGTCTCCTCTTTGTACCTACCTCTGGAAAAGGAGTCTGTGAGAAATGATTGGTTGGTTTAATTTAATTATTGTTGAATAATTTTTAAAACTTTCTTTATAGACTGTATTAGAGTTGGACAGAATGGAAATGTCTATGGATGCTGTAAGTACACTCTCTTTTCCTTTTATTGAAAGGAATGTTTAAAAATTGGCAGAAACCACTAATGTTGCCCAATTTCATTTTAAACTTTAAACAGTTTCAGAAAAAGTTTTATGAAAAAGATCTGTTGGATCAAGAGAAAGAAAGAGAAGAACTACTTCTTTTGGAAATGGTATGTTGTTTTCTCATGCAACACACATACTCTTTTTAAAAAAAATTTATTTATTTTTGATTATACATATTTACAAGGTGCAGAGTTGACTACCACTATTTGTGTACAGTATGTGATGATCAAATCAATATTATTAGCATGTTCATCATTACGAATCATAATTATTCTGTGTCCCTTACCCAATTACTCCCTAACACCCCTCCCCTCCCCCTTTCCCACCTGTATTAACTATAGGTCTGTTCTCTCCTGAAAGTTCAAAGTTTTATGATGATCAAATCAATATTATTAGCATGTTCATTATTACAAATTGTAATTATTCTTTGTGTCCCTTACCGAATTACTCCCTAACCCCCCATCCAGTCCCCCTTTCTCAACTCTAGTAACATAGGTCTATTCTTTCCTTCGGAAAGTTCAATGTATTATTGTGGTCTTCCTTTGTTCTTTTTCCGTTCTCCCTTTTCTCCCCTTTCTCCCATTTCTTCCCTTTCATCCCTTTTTCCCCTCCCTTCCTTCCTCCCTCCCTCCCTTCCTTCCTTCCTTCTTTTATCTCCTTCCTTCCTTCTTTTATCTCCTTCCTTCCTTCCTTTATCTCCTTCTTTCCTTCCTTCCTTCCTTCCCTCCCTCCCTCCCTCCCTCCCACCCACGTATGAGTGAGGACATGGGGTATTTTTCTTTCTGTGCCTGGCTCACATACTCTTTGCTAACCAATATTAACTGTGCTTTGTTATTAAACTTAAAAAATAATTTCTTTTAAATTTCACACTACTTTTTCTTCTTTTTTTTTTCCTTTTTGTCTTTGTTCGTGTCCGGCAACGGATCGCAACCCTCAGTGTCGCGCCCATACCGGACCGGGACCGGCAACGGGATCGCAACCCTCGGTGTTGCTCCCACACCTCGCTCAGCCAGTGAGCGGGAACCGGTCTGTATGTGGGATCCGAACCCTCGGCAGGAGCACCACCGCGCTCCCAAGCGGTGCACTGTAGCAGTGCACCACTGGGCCGGCCCTACTTTTTCTTCTTAAATGACTAAATGTGCTGACTCTTTGAAATCTGTTATTTTATGAACTGGAAGAAAAACTATATTTGAGAGCCTTTTAAAAAGACTACTTTATTGATGTATAATTGACATACAATTAACTGCATATATTTAAAGTGTACAGTTTGATGAGTTTTGACATATGGACATAGCCATGAGACCATCACCACAATCAAAACACCAAACATTTTTATTCCCCCAAAGGTTTCCTCCTGCCCTTTTGTAATCCATATCTTTTTCTGCTCCAGTCCCTAGAAACCCCTGATGTAGTTTCTGTCACTACAGATTAATTTGCATTTTCAAGAATTTATGTAAATTGAATCATATATTAGGTATCCTTTTTTGTCATGCTTCTTTCCATCAGCATAATTATTTTGAGACATCCATATTGCTATATGTATCAATAGGTCATTTCTTTTTATTTCTGAGTAGTATTTTATATTATGGATATATCACAATTTGTTTATCCATTTGCCTCTTAATGGACACATTTGGATTACTTCTAGTTTGGGGATATTACAAATAAAGCTGCTGTGAACATTAGTTAAGTGTTGGTGGACGTATGTTTTTATTTCTCTTGGGTAAATACCAAGAAATAGAATGGAAGGATCATATTGTAGGGTACACTTAATATTAAAGCTAATAAAAATCACTAATGTTTTTATACATCCCCAACAAACAAGCAGAAAAAGAAATCAAGAAAGCAAGCCTATTTACAATAACTACCAAAAGAACAAAATGGCTAGGAATCAATTTAACCAAGGAGGTAAAAGTTCTCTACAATGAGAACTACAAATCACTGCTGAAAGAAATTAAAGAGGACACACCAAAAGATCAAAAGATGGGAAAGACTTTCCACATTCACAGATTGGAAGAATTAATATTGTGAAAATGTCCACACTACCCAAAGTGACCTACAGATTCAATCCAATCCCTATAAAAATACCAAGGACCTTCTTCATAGAAATAGAAAAAACATTCCTAACATTCATATGGAGCAACAAAAAACCCTGAATAGCCAAAGCAATCCTGAGCAAAAAAAATAAAGCTGGAGACATTATACCACTTGACTTCAAATTATACTACAAAGCTGTCATAACCCAAACAGTATGATACTGGCATAAAAACAGACACACAGACCAATAGACCATAATAGAGAATAGAGAAATCAATCCACCTACTTACAGCCAACTGATCTTTAACAAAGGCACCAAGAACATACTTTTAGGAAACAACAGCCTCTTCAACAAATGCTGCTGGGAAAACTGTATACCGATATGTAGAAGAGTAAAACCAGACTTGTACCTCTTGACATATACCAAAATCAACTCAAAATATATTAAAGACTAAAATATAAGACCTGAAACTCTAAAACTCCTAAAAGAAGACAGGAGAAACACTTCAGGATGTAGGACTGGGCAGAAACTTTATGAATAAGATCCCAAAAGCACAGGCAACAAAAGAAAAAATAAACAAATGGGATTTTATCAAACTAAAAAGGTTCTGCACAGCAAAGGAAACAACAGAGCGAAAAGACAACCTACAGAATGGGAGAAAATATTTGCAAACTCTACATATGGTAAAGGATTAACATCCAGAATATACAAGGAATTCAAACAACTTAAAAGTTAAAAAACCAAACAACCTGATTAAAAAATGGGCAGAGGAGCTGAATAGACATTTCTCAAAGGAAAATACACAAATGGCCAACAGGTACATGAAAAAATGCTCACCATCACTAATCATCAGGGAAATGCAAATCAAAACCACATTGAGATACCAGCCCCCCCCACCCCCCCCAGCTAGATTGGCTGTTATCAAAAAGACAGAAAATAGCAAATGCTGGAGAGGATGTGGAGAAAGGGGAACCCTCCTACACTGTTGGTGGGACTGTAAATTAGTGCAGCCGTTTTGGAAAACAGTATGGAGGTTTCTCAAACAACTACAGATAGAACTACCATATGATCCAGCAACCCACTACTGGATATATACCCAAAGGAATGGAAATCGTCATGTTGAAGGGATACCTGCACTCCCATGTTAACTGCAGCTCTATTCACAATAGCCAAGATATGGAACCAACCTAAATGTCCATCAATGGACAACTGGAAAAGAAAACGTGGTATATATACAGAATGGAATACTATTCATCCATAAAAAAGAATGCCATTCTTTTGGCATTCTCTTCTGCCATTCACAGCAACGATGAATGAAGAAAATTTTAAGTGAAATAAGCCAGACACAGAAAGAGAAATACTGCATGTTCTCACTCATAGTTGGGAGCTAAAAAATAAAGAGAAAGAGAGAGAAACAATCATGATGATATGTTGAACTTTCAGAAGGAGAGAACAGAACTGTGGTTACTAGAGGAGGGAAGGAGTAGGAGGAGGGGTTTTAGGGAGAAATATATTAATGGAGACAGAGAATGATTGCATTTTGTAATGATGAATATGCTAATTATCCTAATTTGATCAGCACATTGTGCACAAATGCTGATGGTCTGCTCTGTACCCCACAAATATGTGTAACAGTTATGTTTAAAAAAAAAAAGACCTGAAACTAAAACTCCCAGAAGAAAGCATAAGGGAAATACTTCAGGATGAAGGACTGGGCAAAGACTTTATGAATAAGACCTCAAAAGCACAGGCAACAAAAGAAAAAATAAACAAATGGGATTGTATCAAACTAAAACATTTCTGCACAGCACAGGAAACACTCAATAGAGTGAATGGACAACTTACAGAATGGAGAACATATTTGCAAACTATACATCTGACAAGGGATTAATATTAAGAATACAGAAGGAATTCAAACAATTTAACAGTGAAAAAACAAATAATCTGATTTAAAAATGGGCCAAGGAGCTGAATAAACATTTCTCAAAAGAAGACATACAAATGGCCGACAAGTATATGAAAAAGTACTCAACATTACCTGTCATCAGGGAAATGCAAATCAAAAGCACATCGAGATAACATCTCAACCCATTTAGACTGGCTCTTATCAAAAAGACAGAATAACAAATGCTGGAGAGGATGCAGACAATGGGGAACCTTTCTACACTGTTGGTGGGACTGGAAATTAGTGCATCTGTTATGGAAAATGGTATGGAGGTTTCTCAGATAACTACAGAACAATGATCCAGCAATCCCACTACTGGATATATACCCAAAGGAATGGAAATCATCATGTTGAAGGGATACTTGCACTCCTATGTTTATTGAAGCTCTGTTTACAGTAGTCAAGATATTGGATCAATCTAAATGTCCATCAACACATGACTGGATAAGGACAATGGTGTATATACAGAATGGAATACTACTCAGCCATAAAAAAGAATGAACTTCTGCCATTCACAGCAATATGGATTAGCTTGGAGAAGATTATGTTAAGTAAAAAAAAGCCAGGCACAGAAAGAGATATACCATGTGTCCTCCCTCACAAGTGGGAGCAAATAAATAAATAAATACATAACGTAGAAAGAAACAACAATTACAATAATAGGTTGAACTTTCAGGAGAAAACAGAACTGTGGTAACTGGAAATGAGAAAGGGGGAGGGGGAAGGAGTTGGCAAGAAATTGGTTAATGGACACAAAGAATGCTTATGTTTTGTAATGTTGAATATACTAATTATCCTGATTTTATCATCACATATTGTACATGGGCATTGATATTCAACTCTGTACCCCACAAACATGTACAATCAATTATGTTTCAAACAAAAAAACAAAACAACAACAAAAAGAAAGACAAAAACAATAACAATGTGTTGAGGTTTTAGAAGGAGAGAATAGAACAAGTGGGAAAGTGGGAGAGAGAGAGTTACTGAGAAATTAGTTAATGGACACAAGGAACGATTACGTTTTGTAATAATGATGAACATGCTAATTATCCTGATTTGATGATCACGCATTGCATACAAATGCTAATGATCTGCTCTGTATCCTGCAAAGATGTATAATC